ACACACACACACACACACACACACACACACACACACACACACACACACACAAATCCTCACACAGACCTAAGTAAATTCACAGAAGAACATTCAAGCAGAGCGCTCCAACATTCTTTGGTTCAATGATCACTTTTGGCAAATAAAGAGGGGAAAACTTTCTTTGATTACGTTATAATGTCACAAGGAAGCATACTACATGTAATATTTTGATCACGAACACAACAGACATTACTCTATATCATCTTCCGCGAAACTTGTGTATATCCCTAGTCAATATCTCACTGTCTAGACGTCTTTGCCACCTTAGGTCATGAAGTGAACGTACCTGTTTATGCTCCGTCACCAAAGAACAGAAAAAGTCCTCAAACTGAGGTCTGCCAAAGTGGGTGACTGCCTTTAGACCAGTGAACAAACTCTGACCCTCCAGTTTTTGGAAGAATCGCTCACAGATATACTGAGGAAGAAAAAGGAAAACAAGAAAACTCACATAAGCCACACTTTCTTGTTTTGAAACAAATGTACCATGCATAGGTCTACTTTTGGAAATCTAATCTGATCTCTAAAACACATTGGTGTGATATTAGAAAACCCTGTTTCAAGTTGAAATTATGAACTTAGAGGCAATGCCATGATATTGGCTTTATTTGAACAGGGTTGATTTTTCGCCCTGTCCATTTCGAATATTGGTCTTCGTTAATACATTGTATATGTGATATTTTAAACACTTGGTAAAGATACTGATGTATAATATATGGCCACTCATTGTTTTGTTTTCCCATCAATCTTTTGGAAGGGAAACCTGGCGATGTGCTTATTTTTAGGTTTGTTATAACTTTTACAGTAGCCATGATCGCTGATGCCTGTTTCAGATCGGGCTCTAGAAAAAAGAATAACTTTTACAAATCCATAATCCTGAGATGAAAAAAAAAATGATAGTTGATAAAATATAATAATATAAGAGCATCACACCCCCCCCCCTCCCAGACCTCCCAAACAAAGCAAAATTACCAGCATAGTCGTCCTCAAATCGAACTTCTGTCGGAACTGAGTGACAAAGATATGCGAGTGCACGAGGCCTTGGGTGTCCATCTTCTCCACGTCACGAATTATGTCCACCAGCCACTCATAACTGCGCTGTGTTCTCGTCACCCAGATGAAGTACACCTGGCGAGTAGAACAAACGTTTCTCTGTGGCTTTCCTAAAGAGTTATTGCCCGTTTGAAGGCACGTTTGAACAGTGCTTTGATGCAAAAGACAACCACAACGACAGCAACAACAACAACGACAACAACAATAACAACAACAACAACAACATCAACAACAGAAGCAATAACAATAACGACAGCAGACAATAAAGATGTAATGATGATGATAAAAAGATAAGATAAGATAGTACTTTATTATCCCAGATGATAAAAAGATAAGATAAGATAGTACTTTATTATCCCAGAGGGAAATTTTTCTTGTCTGTACAGGACCGTAAAAACACATGCAGGCATACATAAAAATTTAAATTACATATTACTTTTTACTGTCATAAAAATTCAAAATGAAAAGAGAAGTAAAGCTGACAAAATGTACATATCACGTCAAATGCACCATTTAACCATATGCAAGAATTAACTTAATTACAAGACCTTTAGAGTTATATAAATACATACATGAAAGAGCAATACACATTGATGCTTATTCTGACAATAGCCTTATGCTAGAAGGTAAAAAGCTTCTTTTATATCTTTCTTTCTTTGTTTTTAGAGGTGTATGTCTGCCACTGCGTGATCTTACAATTTGCGTGGAAAGGGGGTGTGATAGGACATTTATAACGCTTTTAATCTTTTTTTAAAAATACTTGTGGTGTTCTATGTTTCAATAATAAAAGTAACAGTAATAGTAATAATGATAATGATAACAATTAAAAAAGGATTTTAAACTGTTGATAAACAATCTCGGTGATCACCATTGCCTTCTCCGTAGGATTCCGTCAACAATAATGGATATTGTACAATCAGGCACGTTTAATGGTTACAATTTCGTGACACGCACGTTAACCCATAGCTCTCATTAGGACTCCAACCCTCAAACTGTTCCTTGCATGCCTTGTAGATGCTACTGGGATTGCAATAGTTTTCTTGAAGTGCAAAACAGTTTTGAGAGATGCTAAAGAATTGATACTAACCGCAAGGAAATCATTTATCATGTCGACAGGGATCGTTTAGCGAGAAACAACTGAATGTGAGTACCATGAGTGCACAATAGTATAACATTATAAATTATCACCTTTTGTGGAGAACCGCCTATATAAAGGGAAATAAATGATGTTAACTTTCTTGATTGTATCGAATCTAACAAAAGCTGTGTACCTTTAACTTTTACCCAAAGACCGTACATAACAAGATGGTTCACTCAGCCAAAAATTGTCCGCGGAAGTCCGCGCATTGCTTCTGATGGCGCTGAAGTCTTTCTTTAGAAGCTCTCTTTCGTTTCTTCAGAAGAAGAATAGGAATAGGACAGCTTGTTAGTTTCGCTTTTATTGTTTTTCACACAAGAAGGGTAACTCTATTCGGAAAGTCCGCACTTTTTCGAAGAGGGCGCAACCAGATTTCGAGGACACTTTTAATTGGGTCAAAGAGAGGAGTGAACTATCTTGTTAGGTACGATCTTTGCTTTAACTTAGCGATAGGCACAAAGCATCATCACCACCAGCAACAACAGCAACAACAACAGCAACAAAACCACTGTAACTGAGGACCATTTTTTTGTCAGTCCAACCTACCCACTCACCTTCTTACAAGTAATCGGCACTCCAGACTTGGATTTGAAGGCGATGTCCTTCAGAATGGAGGCGAACGGCGTTACACCGATGCCACCACCAACCAGAACCGCCACATCGCACGTGTACCAGTCTTGGTGACCTTCACCGAAGGGGCCATCCAGATATAACTGAACATAAAAAAGCAACAAAAACAACTGTGTGAAGTCGTTTATTACTTTATATCAACTGATAATGGTCAAACATGGCTTAGGGATAAATAACAACTCTCGGTGAAATTGGAAAAAAATTGGAAAGAAAGACAAAAGTGAACCCAATCATGAGCTGTATTGATAAAAGTACTCTTGGAAGACTGCTGTGATCGTTATTGAAACAAGACATCCAAAGAAACACTATTTAGGTTAGCTTGATGAAGGCTTGACTAGTGTTTAGACATAAGCAGAGAGGAAACATAGCATGGACTGTTGACATAATTCGAACCCCACTTCGATTGGAACAATGAACTTCCATGTGGGTTATCGAGTTTGCTACTTACTGTCACAGAGAGGGCAGCTCTTATAAGACACACACACACACACACACACACACACACACACACACACACACACACACGCACACACATAGACACACACATATACACACTCAGAGCAAGCGAGAGAGAGAACGGGAACGATAGAGAGAGGGTGATAGAGATAGATAGATAGTTAGATAGATAGATGGATAGATAGATAGATAGATAGATAGATAGATAGATAGATAGATAGATAGATAGATAGATAGATAGATAGATAGA